TAGAAAACACCTGGCCTCATTCTGTACAACCTCATCTCCCACATGGCCACCCCTGGACGCCAATAAAGAGCAGAATTAGATGTTTTTCAAAGACTTCGGGGGATGGGGCGGCTGGGTGCTGCTACATGCTTCAGGCCAGCCTCAGACGCCTGACAGCCCCCTCCTCAGCCTCCCGCGTGCTGGGATCACAGGAGGGCCAGCATGCCCAGCTCTCACCGGATTTTCATTTTAAATATTCGGCATTTTCTCTCTAGGGTTCTGTGACAATTCAGGTCATTTACCTCCACTGCGTTCTCCGAGGTGTACATAAGATGCATGAATTGTTCTGTAAATCCTTTTTTTTTTTTTACTGTATTTTTTATTTTATTTTATTGAGAAACAAATAGCAATGAGACAGTTTCAAAACTGATTAATAGGACAGTTTCAATAATTAATGTGTTCAGTAAATCCTGTTGATTATTTTAGTGCTTTCTTAATCTCTGCTGTGCCCACTTTAACACAAAATTCATGCCACCCACTTACTGATTAACAACAATGGGGCCCCATCACAAAATTTTTCCATAATATGGCAAATTAACAGCTAACACCAAACTGCCATGACTTGAACGAGGTGATGCTGTGCTCATTATGTAAAATCTGCTTTATGAGGAAGCCGGGCTCAAGTAACAGCGCTGGTAATGCCAGCGCCTTGACCTCAGGCTTCCCGGAGGACCTCTCTGAGCTGAGTCTCCAGTTTCCTCGCTTGCAAAAGCAGAATGTTCAGGCTAATTCTGTAATGCTTTGAGACTCAAATAATGCACAATATTTTAAATTACGAAGTACTATAAAATGCTGAGAATGTGTTTCTAATATTATTTACATTCTTCAGCCAGCACTGACTCAAAGGTTCCTTTACCCCTCGCATCTTTTTGTCAGAGCTAATCATCTGTAGACATTTCCATGACGCTCCATGAAGCTAGCACTTCAGATACGTCAGCCTGAGCTTCTCTTAATGACAGCATGGCTGTGTACGTTTCAGAGCTCTACTTGGGAGGACAGGCTAAGAAAAGGACTCCTTACGTTGGCTAGGGCTTTCATCAGTGTCCCACTTGCATCCACAGTACAAAGGAAGTCTTTATAAAATTTCATCTTCACTTTGCTGTCTCTGATCAGGAGTATCCCAATTCCTTTAAACGTAAATGCCACATTTTTTTTCACGGCAATGGATCGCGATAAAAAAAGCAACGTCTCCTTAACACATCCTTCCACCGTATCCCTGGAAAATGGACTGTCCAGGGATATCATGACAAAATTAAGTGGAATAACTGGGATGTCACCTAGAGGAGAAAAGGGTAGGGGAAAGGAAGTGGAGATTACAACTAGGATATGTCATACATACATACAAATAATTATCACTTAATATTCAAAAGTAGACATTTCCGTGTGAAATATTTGATTGTAGCTAAAGCAGTGTCACTGCAGTATACAACTAACACAGCAGCACAATTTTTCCTGGAAGTATTATATGGTGAGCTCAAAATAAAATAATTACCCTGTTAAACAACATTGAGCAGTAAGTTTTTAGTTCTTTTAGGAGAAATAATAACTGCCTATTTTCACAGAGGATTTTCTAAAGTTTTAAATCTCTTTATCTTTTAGAACATACTAGGGCCAGCCAAATAGCTCAGCAGATCAAAGCGCCTCCCCAGGACTGCCATGCTGGCCCCGCCCCCAGGATGCGCTGAGGTGGCAATTGAGACTGGCCGTGGTGGCCCACACCTGTAATCCCAGCTCTTGGGAGGCTGTAAACAGGCAGATCACTACAAGCCTGATCTAGTAGGGAGACCCAGAATACCCTGTAGACCGTTCCCTAAAATACAAAAAGAAGAATATACTGTAGCAATATTTGTGTTCTCTTCCAATTATAAAACTTTAAATGGTATAAAATCTATAAGTGTTTTTGAAAGGGTGGTCATCACCACTATAAGTCATTGTTTGAAAGAAATTGGTCTTATACAAGGGTAGATGACTTGCAGGAAGCTTTTCTGTCTAATGAGCCCTTTTTTTTTTTTTTTTTTTTTTTTCGGAACCAAGGATTGAACTCATGCCCTTGTGCTTGCCAGGGAAGCTCATATTCCACTGAGCCATCTCCCCGACCATTTTTTGTTTGTTTGTTTTACTTTGAGACAGGATCTCACTAAATTGCTAAATCTTTAAGGCAAGGTTTGAGCTTGAGCTTGCAATCCTCCCGCCTCTGCCTCCCAAGTGCTTGGAATTATAGGGCATGTACCACAGTGCCTTGTTTCTAACACAAATTTCTTAAGAAGGCCATGCTGCCTACCTCTAGAGCCTCCCTCCCATTCACCCATTGCTTTCCTACCACCCATCTCCTGGCTCACTCATCATCATGCTGTCCACCACGATGTACAAGCCAATGGACACTTTGGAAAGTTCATCTCTCGTGGCCAATCTGAAACTTCTGTTAGCCATGCCCTCTCTTTTCTCTTATATCCATAACACCATTATTCATCTGTTGCTTCAACCTCAGTCTCTCTTGCTAGCTTCCCTCCTCTTCTCTTCATAATTTCAAGGGGTATTTATTCTAACTATTTTTTCTTAAGTTTGATTTGACTAAAATGAACCAAAAGCTGGGGTCTGGGCTGAGGAGCTATGTCTATCCCTTCACTATGACCTCTGGCTCTAGTAAAGGGTCAGCAAGGCTCCGCGGTGCCAAGCTTCAGTGTTAGGAATCTTCTAATTCAGAAAGCTGACTTCTAGATGTTCTCACTCTCCGAGCCTTGCAGAAATGAGTCCTCCTCTCTTTGTGCTGCTTTTAAAAGTTATAAAACGTGTAAGAATCATGGGTTTCTGGAAAAGGCAAGGAAAACACAGTGCTGTCCTAAATGACATAAAATGGATACACCCGCAGTGATGGTGCTGCAGGTGGAGGCTGATTTAGGAGGAAACGACACGTAGGGCGGAGGATACTGACCCTCTGCACACCCCGGTACCCTCAAGATCGCCCACTGTTTCTCAGAAATAACCCCTTGAGTCTGACCACAGACCATGGTATAAAATACAGACACATCTCTAAGGGTTTCATCCTTCAATTTTCCACTTGTATCTTCATAGTATTTTGTCTTCATCTTTGTCTTCCTTATATCATCTCTTGGGTGAGCTTACTCACATCTTGAACTCTAGTTTCCACCTTTCTCCTAAGTGCTAGAATCATGTCTAAATGTCCCTACAAGAGCCTCAAGTCCCTACAAGAGTCTGTCCAAAAGAAAACCATTATTTGATCCACCAAGCCACGTGCCTTTCGAACCCTTCGTTCCTTACAGCAGTTAATGTCAGGCATTCAGTGAACATTTGTCTGCTTTCCAACCAAGAAACACATTTAATTATAGCTAATGTCAACTATCATTTTCCCACAGAGAGACACAAAATGTCCTTTACTATTCATACTTTTGACTTCTCAGGATCTGAAACACAAATGAGACCTGGTACAACTCCATGACACGGCATCAGATGTCCTCACCACTACCTCTTAAAGTGCTAACTAAGGTTTACAACAGCCTGCAGAAAGACTAATTTTCCTACCTGGGCCCCTGACTCTGCCAAAAGTGCCGCCTGAAATATTAGTCCCTCAAACCAGAAATGCAGAAGCAGCATTAACCAATTCTGCTTCATCCTTTTTATCCCCAGGGTGGTAAATTTCTGCAAAAGTCTTAGGTATTACAATTACCAGGAGAGTAGACTTTGTTCTGCTTGAGCGCGTGGATCTGCACTAACTTCTCAGTCATGATGAACACAGGCCTCTGGATTAGAATGAACTTGTTGTTCCCCACCTCAAGCTTTTGTCTTGTGAATGTGAAAGTTCCAAGCCCTGGAATCTGAACCCCCTGAAAGGAAAAAGAAGAAAAAAATCAAGAAACATAATTCATTGTAAGAATGAAGAGGAATTCTTCATACTGTTATGCATAAAAACATGAAAAGAATTTGAGCTTATTTCTTAAAAATTCAGTGATCTCTACAGCCATTTATAGTGATTGTATTTGATGATTCTACATTTTGAGGTAAATTTAGGATAAAATGTAATCCATGCTTTATAGCTATCAGATACCACACTTATGCATCAAGGCTGAGGCCATAAAAACTTGCATGGGTGTCATAGCCTTTAAAAGTGATTTATCTGAGACTTTCTCATCCTAAATTGTGTGATATTTTAAATCACTGGGCATTTAATGGGGCACGAGAATCCCAGTTTTCTCACTGTTTTCAGATCTGTGTCTCCCCGTTAGCATCAGGCAGCCCCGCTCACAAGCATGTGCTACGCTGCAGTAATCGTGAAGACGGCTGGAAGCATGTGCTCCTGGCTCTGCACTTCGGTTCTTTCTCCCTGGAGATATCGCATGGCAAGGGGTATAGGCTCAAGTACCTCCTGGAGCCAAGTAAGCGCAAGAGTGACTGAGGCTAACCAGCCAGACCACGGTGGCCGAGGAGGGCGCATCTCCTCCAAAGGAGAACCGGCACGAGCTTTGGCCAAGGGTCACAGGCAAGAACCAAAGCTGTGCTTGCTGGGCCTGCTGATTTTTCAAGAAAAGAGAGATGAAAATGCAAACTTTCACCCAAACTCTTCCAACTTTAAGTGGTGACAACTAATTCAAATTCTCAAATCAAATAAAAACTTATGTAGATGTTGAATTTGGTCTAAGCTGCGGGAACTTGGCGCAGGACACTAAGTTTCACATCCTCCTCGTCCTCTCCAAGCTCCTCCCAAATCTGTCCAGTCTATAGTGTCCAAGAGGAAGCAGTGCATTCCTAAGTGAAGTTTCTTATTTTTGACAATTTTCCCCTATTTTTATGAATTTCAACTAAAACATGTTCTCTGCAAAAAGGCAAAACCAAAAGCATAATATTGTTCTACTGCTTAGGCCAAGAATATCAAAACAGAGAAAAGCAGGACTCATCTAATTTTTTTTCTTTCTTTCCTTTTTTGTTTTCTTTTTTTTTTTCTTCTTCTTTTTTAATGTATTTGGTTGGCACAGGGTCTCACTACACCGCTCAGACTCGTAGTGATCCTCCTGTTTCCAACCTCCCCAGTGCTGGGATTACAGGCATGCGCCACACGCCCCATCTCAGTGGTTGCCTCAGCGTGCCCGGGGGCAGGGCCGGCATGATATGTGGTACCAGGGATCGAACACCCATCCCTGTGCTTGCCTGAGCAGGCACTTAGTCTGCTGAGCTATCTTGCAGGCCCCCTCATGTAGTGTCTTTATACATACCAAAGCTGATCCACACTACCACCAAAACAGAACCTACCAATTCATTATCTAGGAAAAATTCCGCGTTTCTTACACCTACACTCTGCAAGTCCAAAGTGCGAATATTACAAAATCAAGTCAAACCCGTGGTTCTAACATCTTCTACACTCCTTCCAAAAAGATTATACAAAAATATACCAGAAAAAAATCTTCGGACTATTGTGTTAAAATTAAAGAATAAATCCTACCTTATGCAAGGTTAGCTGTCGTTCCACAAATTCTGAAACATTTCCCCAGATAGTAGAGACTTCTGGAATTCAAAGGAAAACAAAATAATTTATGTGAGCACCTACACGTTACTGTCCAGGTGCTTATAAAGAAGAGTACAAATATGGAGTGCAGAATAAACGGACAGTAATTCTTAATTTAGCAGTAGAAGCAGAGTCTAAACCTATCTCTTAAAGTTCCAAGATGTGATTTTAATAATAACAATAATGCATTTTTGGAGAAAACCTTTCTAGAATAAGGAGAACTCTGTCACACACTTACTTTTTCTGCAAATGGAGTTAAAGTAGTGTCTAGCTTTATCTTAACTCATTAAAGTATCTACTCTGTGCCACCTAAATATTATGAATATTCCTTCTCATACCATTCTATAAGGAAGGAAAATAAGGCTGAAGGCCTCTACAGCAAGACAGAAATTGCTATCATCTATACATTAAGTGCCCCAGCCCTTCTGGTTTTGTTAAATTCATCCATATTCTCTCTCTC